CCATAAGAGGGAAATTCATAGTAATTGGTGCACATAAGAAAAAGATGGAAAGGTGACAAATAGACAACCTAATATCACACCTCAGGGAATTGGAAAAACAACAAGAACAAAAATGTCAGGTGAAAAAAACATAAAGATTCAAGCATAAATAAATGAAATATAAAATAAACAAAATATACAAAAAAATAAATGAAAGAAAAAACTGGTTCTTCGAAAAGATTAACAAGATCTACACACCATTAGCTAAACTGATAAAGAAGAAGAAAGAAACCAGATAAATCGAATATGGCAACATTACAACAGATACAATAGAAATATAAAACATCATTAGAAGATACTATGAGCAACTATATGCCAACAAACAAGAGAACATGGAGAAGATGGACAAATTCCTGGATGCATATAATCTACCAAGATTGAATCAGGAGGAAATAGAAAGCCTGAATAGACCCATAACAAACCATGAGATTGAATCAGTAATAAAAAAAAAAAAACGTCCTGGGCATGTACACACATGTGCCCAGCATGAGTTTAAGCCACCAGGTCCAGGACACTACATGGGAGAAGAGTGGTGTAGGTGGCATATCTCCCTGACCCCAAAATATACTATAAAGTTGTGATAATCAAAACAACATGGTATTGGCAAAAAAACAGACAGGTGAACCAATGGAATAGAATAGAGATCCCAGAAATAAACCCCAAAGCTTACAGCCAAATGATTTTTGACAAAGGATACCATTTCATCCATTAGGAAAGGGAAAACTTTTTTAGTAAATGACTCTGGAAAAACTGGGTATCCACCTGCAAAAAGATGAAACTGAATCCCCATCTTTCACCATTAACAAAAATCAACTCAAAATGGATCATAGATCTGAACCTAAGACCTCAAACTTTAAAACTGGTGGAAAATGCTGGGGAAACTCGGTATTTGGGGTAGGCAAATATTTCTTAAATAAGATTCGCAAAGCACAGGCAATAATCCCTAAAATAGACAAGTGGGACTATATCAGATTAAGAAGTTCCTGCATTGTGGCCAGCAGGTGACATGTTGGTTAAAGGTGCTGGACTCCCACATGGGTGACCATGGTTCAAGTGCTGGACCTGGCAGCTTGCTTTCTCACTTTCTCTCTCTCTCTCTCGTCAAATTAAACAAATAAAATTAAATATTAAAAAAAAAATTGTCTCCCTCTCCAGCAAACCTGCTGGTTGTACCCAGAAGTTGTGCCCAACCACATCATCACTGCTCTCGATCACACTTCACCCCAAGGAGAATATCCAGATCAGGAGTCTTGCTTAGGTTTATCCAGGATAGAAGAGGCTGGTATCATTTCTCTCCTCGTTATGCAGTTTCTTTCCAAAAAGGAACTCATCCTATCCAAGAGATGGGTGGAATATCCAGTTTAATTATTCCATCTGGGTAGGTTTGTAATATTCAGAATGTCTCCTCCTCATCCCAAATCTTAATTGCTCTGGTTAATTAAGAACACAACTACAACATTATGTGTGGGTAAAACTCCAAAAGTTCATTGATAAAATGTACAATAAGGCTTGAACAAAGCAAGCCACGTACCTGAATAGAGAGTCATTGACTCCTCCAAGCTGACGTATAGGCTTGGTTTAATACTATTTCATTCAATATTCTAATGAGATGAATTTTGAACTTTACAAAATTGCAATAATAATTAGCCTTATTAAAGCTTACTCTGTGCCAGGTATTAATCCACGGGCTAGAAGGGTTTTCAACTCTGTTAATCCTCACAACAACCCCATGACGGTATTATTACTCTTCTCATTGTACAAGCGAAAAAGCTGAGAAATACAGAGGTTAAGCAACCTGCCTGAGTATTTCAGGACTGAGAAGCCTCAACTCAGGTTTTGAACTCAGTGAGTTTGGATCCAGAGCCTATGATCTAAGCTCCTCTGCAACTTGTCTTTTAAAATAAAAGTAGAAAAATAAACAGATACAGCTATCAAAGAACACTACTAATGGAGGCAGTCTAGCCCTAACAACTATCCCGAGGTACAATGAAGAGTAGGACACTATAAAAGAACAGATAAATGGAATCAGTGGAGCAAAATCAATCACTAAGAAACAGAATTTATTGTGTATGTTAATTTAATTAAAGGTGTTCTGACAGACATTTTAATAAATTATGTTAGTACAACAAGTTAACTACTGCAAGGGAAATATAGAGATTCACTTTCAATTAAGAATTTTTATTTTCACCATTCACAGCTGGATTAAATAATTAAAACAAAATTATATCATGAAAAATAGAACAAATATTATTAAATACTTATCAACTTCTAGAGGGAGGATAAATGCCTATATAATAAACTATAAAGGAAGTCCTGGACCGGGTGACTTGTTTTCTCACTTTTCCTTTCTCTCTTCCTCTCTCTGTCTCTCTTTCTTTCTGATCAAATTGAAAATAAGAAATAATAACAAATAAAATTAAATAACTTTTTTAAAAAAAGAAGTTATGACAGGAAAAAGGGCTTGCTAAAACATATGCCATCAAAAATGATAACTTTTTAACATTAATAGTAATGAATTAGAAAATATTAAGAAAAAAGTAATCTAATTCATAATAATAAAAAAACTATTATAATCTTTATATAACATCTAAATGAAAACTATGTGTGATATGTAAAAAAAGTACAAATACTTACTGTCTATGTTCTGTTTGTGATTTTCTATCCTTAATGACAAGAAGAGCAAGTTCCAAGTGTGTTCATGAACAGCATGTGGTTGACAGAAAGCAGAAGTGACCACGTTGTCCTAGTCTGCAAACACAAGATGAAAGAATGCAACTGACTTGATAAATAAAAAGATAAAACATCTATTAACCAAATAAAAACTCAGAAAGAAAATTCAGACAAAGGCAAACAAAATAATTGCAACAAATATAATTTTGTACATCACATAAATGAAGCTGCCCTATATTTGTCAAGTTGCTTTACATTTAAAAGTCCAGTTGATATCTTTGAGATAGATAAGAATTTCAGAAATCAAAAAGCAAAATACTAACACTGATTAGGAAAAATGACATAAGTAGAAAATCTACAGTAAAGACACTAAATATCAATAAGTTCATCTTTAATTCAATAAAAGATGCAAATTAAAATAAGTCATTTTACATTTTCCTTTGTTGACAAAGATTTCTTTTAAATAGTGGCAGTAAATTACTATAAACTCATGCAAACTTTCTATAATACAATTTACCAAAACAGTATAGTTATGTTTTGTGTGATTTAAGTAAATTAAATAATGGGATATAAATAGGTTAAGAAAATTTTACTTAATGTGCAAAGTTGAAATCATGTACAGCCCAGCATTTTTAAAACTTGAAAAACACAGCTAAATTACAGAGCTTTCTAGTCAAGTGTATTGTAAACTGGAGAGACAGCACAGTATGATAATGAGGAGTTTGGAATTCAAGGTCAAGGTGCCTGGGTTTAAATTTCAGCTCGACCATTTGCAAGCTGTGCAAACTTAGACAAGCTACTTTACTTCTCTGTGTCTTCTTTGTCAATAAAGTGGGACTAATAATAATAATCAATGTCATATTATGTTATGATATTAAAGGAGTTAATATATTTAAAGTACATACTTAGAATATGGCAGCACAAATAAATATTATATAGTGTTTGTTAGGACAATGATAATGGTGGTGGTAGTGATGATGATGATGGTGGTGGTGGTGATTGACATTGCCACTTAATGGCACCATGTTAGCAGAAAATATACCTAATCTTTATCGTTATCCTAAGATTCATATTGCTATTAAAATGCTAGAATTTCTTCAGATAATTTTGGTGGGCATTTATTATTTTACCATAGTATATAGTAAATAATAGCTTATAGTTCAAAGTAATTGGTAATTTATATGTGTATATTTATGAGACTGTTAAATAATAATACAGTTACAAGTGGTGAAGTTATCCCTAAATCAATAACTTTAAAACAGAAGTTAGATATAATATTGAATACATTTTCATAAAGAGAGCAAAAAGCATTATGTTATATTAGGTTGTCAGAAAATTCATTACACATCTTTGCATAGACGGCAATAGAAAAATAGGGGACCAGCAGATAGCATAATGGTTACATCGCTGGACTCTCACATAGTCAACTGCAGTTTGAATCCTAGACCTGGAGGCTTAAAACTCACACTGGGCATGTATTCATGTGTACCCCAAATTCCAAGAGACTAGAGAAGAAGGTATTGCAATGTGGCCATCCCCACCTGGGGGTGATTTCTTGCTTTTTGTCTCTCTAGCAAGCGCATGCACCCTCTAGCAAAAATCTCTCTCGAAACGAAAGAAAGAAAGAAAGAAAGAAAGAAAGAAAGAAAGAAAGAAAGAAAGAAAGAAAGAAAGAAAGAAAGAAAGAGAGGGAGGAAGAGGCTGTATTTCAACAAAGACTGACTTCAAGATTTATTCCAGGAAAGTTACTAGACAAAAAGACAAAATAAACATTTTAAATAAAATAAAATATCAAGTAAATATCCAAGGGCCTAACGTTAAAATACAGAATTGCTACAGTTTAATATTTAAAATGCTAAATTTTCAACTAAAATTATAAAACACATGAAGAGAACAAAGTAGGGTCATGCGTAGAGACAGAAAGAACAAAAAGTAGCCAGTAGAAACTACGTTGTTCCTACATGTTGAATTTAGTGCAAAAAGACTTAAAAGAAGCTATTATAGGGCTAGCTAGATGGAGTGGTGGTTAAGGTGGCTGAATCCCACATGGCCAACTGTGCAGTCCAAGTCCTGGACTCAGTAGCTTGAAAAACATGTGAAGTACGTGTGTATATGCCGAAAATCCCAAGAAGAGAATGGAGGAGAAGGTATTGCAGTACAGTCATTCCCTGTAGCAGGTGCTTTCTCACTTTCTCTCTCTGACAAGCACACATTCCCGATATCAAGAAAAAAAATAAATAAATAAGTAAATAAACTACAGTATTATAAACCAATTCAAAGGAACAAAAAGATTGCTCGCTTCAGCAGTACATATACTAAAATTGGTACAATAAAGAGAAAATTAGCATGGCCCCTGTGCAAGGATGACACACAAATTTGTGAAGCATTATTTATTTTTAACCCAAAAAGATCCTCTCCAAGACACATCATAGCCAGATTGACCAAAACCACAAAGATGAGATACTAAAATTGGCAAGAGGGAAACATCAAGTTACTTACAAAGGTCATCTTATCAGGTTAACATCAAATCTCTCATCAAAAATAATGAAAGCAAGGAAAGAATGGGGAAATATAGCCAAAGTGTTAAATGAAAAACAATTTCAACCAAGAATACTATACCCAGCAAGATTATCCTTCACGTGGGAAAAAAAGATAAAAAAAACATTCCCAGATAAGCAAAACCTGAAAGAATTACCAACTCCAGACCATTTCTTTAAGAGGTTCTGAAGGGAGTTCTATATCAGAAAAATTAAAAAGTCAGATGGACTGTTATAGGAGGATAAAAAACAACCAAGAAAATGGCTCAGTTAATGATAGGAACAGGTCCAGAAATATTGATAATAACATTGAATATTAATGGGTTTAATTCTCCATTTAAGAGACACAGACTGGCTGAATGGATAAAAAACAGAAACCTTCTATCTGTTGCCTATGAGAAACACGCCTTATGGATAAAGACATATATAGACTAAAAGTGAAGGGCTGGAAAATGATATTCCATGCAAATGGAAATAAAAAAAGGCTGAAGTTGCGATACTGATTTCAGACAAAATAGGTTTCAAGACAAAGACTGTAAGAAGAGTCAAAGAAGGGCATTATATAATAGTAAATAGGTAAATTCAGCAAGAAGACATAACACTTACAAATATCTATGCAACCAACACAGGAGCATCTAAATAAATGAAGGAAAGACTGCTAAAGCTAAAAGGAGAGATGGATGGAACATTATGATTGTTGGGGATCTCCACACCTGAACATCTCATTTAGACAGATCTTCTAGATTAAAAATAAATAGAGAGATACAGGACCTAAATGACACTATAAATCAAATGGGTTTGACAGATATCTATAGAACTTTCAATCCTAACATGACAAAATAAACACCCCAGAATGGAACCTTTTCAAAGATTGACCATATGAAAGGATACAAATCAAGCCTTCACATATTCAGAGGCATAGAAACTATATCCAGCATCTTCTCTGACCATTATGGAATTAAACTCAATATTAATTTGAAGAAACATCCTCAAAATATACAAACACATGGAAACTAAACAATCTACTTCTGAATGACTTCTTAACTATGAAAGAAATTAAGTCTGAAATTTAAAAATTTATGGAAATACTGATAAGGAATACACGAGTTTCCATACTCTATGGGACACAGCAAAAGCAGCCATAAGAGGGAAATTCATAGTAATTGGTGCACATAAGAAAAAGATGGAAAGGTGACAAATAGACAACCTAATATCACACCTCAGGGAATTGGAAAAACAACAAGAACAAAAATGTCAGGTGAAAAAAACATAAAGATTCAAGCATAAATAAATGAAATATAAAATAAACAAAATATACAAAAAAATAAATGAAAGAAAAAACTGGTTCTTCGAAAAGATTAACAAGATCTACACACCATTAGCTAAACTGATAAAGAAGAAGAAAGAAACCAGATAAATCGAATATGGCAACATTACAACAGATACAATAGAAATATAAAACATCATTAGAAGATACTATGAGCAACTATATGCCAACAAACAAGAGAACATGGAGAAGATGGACAAATTCCTGGATGCATATAATCTACCAAGATTGAATCAGGAGGAAATAGAAAGCCTGAATAGACCCATAACAAACCATGAGATTGAATCAGTAATAAAAAAAAAAAAACGTCCTGGGCATGTACACACATGTGCCCAGCATGAGTTTAAGCCACCAGGTCCAGGACACTACATGGGAGAAGAGTGGTGTAGGTGGCATATCTCCCTGACCCCAAAATATACTATAAAGTTGTGATAATCAAAACAACATGGTATTGGCAAAAAAACAGACAGGTGAACCAATGGAATAGAATAGAGATCCCAGAAATAAACCCCAAAGCTTACAGCCAAATGATTTTTGACAAAGGATACCATTTCATCCATTAGGAAAGGGAAAACTTTTTTAGTAAATGACTCTGGAAAAACTGGGTATCCACCTGCAAAAAGATGAAACTGAATCCCCATCTTTCACCATTAACAAAAATCAACTCAAAATGGATCATAGATCTGAACCTAAGACCTCAAACTTTAAAACTGGTGGAAAATGCTGGGGAAACTCGGTATTTGGGGTAGGCAAATATTTCTTAAATAAGATTCGCAAAGCACAGGCAATAATCCCTAAAATAGACAAGTGGGACTATATCAGATTAAGAAGTTCCTGCATTGTGGCCAGCAGGTGACATGTTGGTTAAAGGTGCTGGACTCCCACATGGGTGACCATGGTTCAAGTGCTGGACCTGGCAGCTTGCTTTCTCACTTTCTCTCTCTCTCTCTCGTCAAATTAAACAAATAAAATTAAATATTAAAAAAAAAATTGTCTCCCTCTCCAGCAAACCTGCTGGTTGTACCCAGAAGTTGTGCCCAACCACATCATCACTGCTCTCGATCACACTTCACCCCAAGGAGAATATCCAAATCAGGAGTCTTGCTTAGGCTTATCCAGGATAGAAGAGGCTGGTATCATTTCTCTCCTCGTTATGCAGTTTCTTTCCAAAAAGGAACTCATCCTATCCAACAGATGGGTGGAATATCCAGTTTAATTATTCCATCTGGGTAGGTTTGTAATATTCAGAATGTCTCCTCCTCATCCCAAATCTTAATTGCTCTGGTTAATTAAGAACACAACTACAACATTATGTGTGGGTAAAACTCCAAAAGTTCATTGATAAAATGTACAATAAGGCTTGAACAAAGCAAGCCACGTACCTGAATAGAGAGTCATTGACTCCTCCAAGCTGACGTATAGGCTTGGTTTAATACTATTTCATTCAATATTCTAATGAGATGAATTTTGAACTTTACAAAATTGCAATAATAATTAGCCTTATTAAAGCTTACTCTGTGCCAGGTATTAATCCACGGGCTAGAAGGGTTTTCAACTCTGTTAATCCTCACAACAACCCCATGACGGTATTATTACTCTTCTCATTGTACAAGCGAAAAAGCTGAGAAATACAGAGGTTAAGCAACCTGCCTGAGTATTTCAGGACTGAGAAGCCTCAACTCAGGTTTTGAACTCAGTGAGTTTGGATCCAGAGCCTATGATCTAAGCTCCTCTGCAACTTGTCTTTTAAAATAAAAGTAGAAAAATAAACAGATACAGCTATCAAAGAACACTACTAATGGAGGCAGTCTAGCCCTAACAACTATCCCGAGGTACAATGAAGAGTAGGACACTATAAAAGAACAGATAAATGGAATCAGTGGAGCAAAATCAATCACTAAGAAACAGAATTTATTGTGTATGTTAATTTAATTAAAGGTGTTCTGACAGACATTTTAATAAATTATGTTAGTACAACAAGTTAACTACTGCAAGGGAAATATAGAGATTCACTTTCAATTAAGAATTTTTATTTTCACCATTCACAGCTGGATTAAATAATTAAAACAAAATTATATCATGAAAAATAGAACAAATATTATTAAATACTTATCAACTTCTAGAGGGAGGATAAATGCCTATATAATAAACTATAAAGGAAGTCCTGGACCGGGTGACTTGTTTTCTCACTTTTCCTTTCTCTCTTCCTCTCTCTGTCTCTCTTTCTTTCTGATCAAATTGAAAATAAGAAATAATAACAAATAAAATTAAATAACTTTTTTAAAAAAAGAAGTTATGACAGGAAAAAGGGCTTGCTAAAACATATGCCATCAAAAATGATAACTTTTTAACATTAATAGTAATGAATTAGAAAATATTAAGAAAAAAGTAATCTAATTCATAATAATAAAAAAACTATTATAATCTTTATATAACATCTAAATGAAAACTATGTGTGATATGTAAAAAAAGTACAAATACTTACTGTCTATGTTCTGTTTGTGATTTTCTATCCTTAATGACAAGAAGAGCAAGTTCCAAGTGTGTTCATGAACAGCATGTGGTTGACAGAAAGCAGAAGTGACCACGTTGTCCTAGTCTGCAAACACAAGATGAAAGAATGCAACTGACTTGATAAATAAAAAGATAAAACATCTATTAACCAAATAAAAACTCAGAAAGAAAATTCAGACAAAGGCAAACAAAATAATTGCAACAAATATAATTTTGTACATCACATAAATGAAGCTGCCCTATATTTGTCAAGTTGCTTTACATTTAAAAGTCCAGTTGATATCTTTGAGATAGATAAGAATTTCAGAAATCAAAAAGCAAAATACTAACACTGATTAGGAAAAATGACATAAGTAGAAAATCTACAGTAAAGACACTAAATATCAATAAGTTCATCTTTAATTCAATAAAAGATGCAAATTAAAATAAGTCATTTTACATTTTCCTTTGTTGACAAAGATTTCTTTTAAATAGTGGCAGTAAATTACTATAAACTCATGCAAACTTTCTATAATACAATTTACCAAAACAGTATAGTTATGTTTTGTGTGATTTAAGTAAATTAAATAATGGGATATAAATAGGTTAAGAAAATTTTACTTAATGTGCAAAGTTGAAATCATGTACAGCCCAGCATTTTTAAAACTTGAAAAACACAGCTAAATTACAGAGCTTTCTAGTCAAGTGTATTGTAAACTGGAGAGACAGCACAGTATGATAATGAGGAGTTTGGAATTCAAGGTCAAGGTGCCTGGGTTTAAATTTCAGCTCGACCATTTGCAAGCTGTGCAAACTTAGACAAGCTACTTTACTTCTCTGTGTCTTCTTTGTCAATAAAGTGGGACTAATAATAATAATCAATGTCATATTATGTTATGATATTAAAGGAGTTAATATATTTAAAGTACATACTTAGAATATGGCAGCACAAATAAATATTATATAGTGTTTGTTAGGACAATGATAATGGTGGTGGTAGTGATGATGATGATGGTGGTGGTGGTGATTGACATTGCCACT